TTGACCACTGGGGCTGGTTTTGTCTTGAGAGGAGCAGGTTCTATTGAAGAGATTTCAGGTTTGTCATTAAAAATCACAGTGACACTGAAACTGTCCAATGAAATAATTCAGTCTTACCTCTCTTTGTTACAGCTGGTTTGGGTTTCTGTTTTGAAACCTCAGCTGCAGAGAAAACATTGAATGATGTGTATGCAAAACCCAAATGCCTCAAAGTCATGAATATTTTGATGTGAAACAGTTAATGTGCTGTACCTGTCTTTGCAGAGATTCCTCTGATCATCTCTTTTGGTAACTTGACCCCTGAAAACACAAAGAGAACAAGAAACACACACATATTTAGTATTTTAAAATCATCAAAATATGGCGTGAAAAGTTCTGAAACAAATAAAATGTTAAATCAAAGGAAATCACCTTTCTTTATAGAAATCTTTTAAAATACAAACTGATGATGTTATCTGACTGTAATACACACAATACACACATATCAGCAACACATAATGTTAGTTGGGCCTTTTCCTCTGAGTCCTCTGTTGTCTAATCCAGTGMTTCCCAAACTTTTCAGGCCCTGAACCCCAAAATAATTGTGCCAGAGAGTGAGGACCCCCATTATTTCAGAGGATATTGATTTGACCTAGTTCTCAAAACATTCTCCTTTGTGCACAGGTTGTATTTAATCCAACAGAACTGTAAATTAACCTGCTGCTGCTGATGCTCTGTCTAATAATAGATAATCACTTCAGGGGTAATGTGGGGTCAAAGAAAATGACAAGGTTGATGAAATACTTAAATTTGCATGAACCCGACCCGTAGTTTGGGAACCACTGGAAAGCTTCGAGAGGTGGATTGTAAACGCCAACTAGACAAATCTGTGCCTGCAGAGCTTCTCAGAACCACATCAATCCAATCAGCACTTTGATAAAATACAGTGACCTACATTTTGTGACTAGATCAGTGTGATCTCAATCCACTATGGTTCTATGAATAACTACCTTTCTTCACAGGAGATTTACCTTTTTTATCATGAACTGCTTTAGGCTTCTCCTTCACAACTTCTGCTTCTGTGAGACAAGAAAGAAATGAATGTTGTAATTGTGAGGTTAAGGGTTTTTCTTT